ATCAAGAAGTGCTGTGGCTTTGCCAAAATCCAAGCCCTATATTTAGGTAGGAGAGAGGACATTACAAATGGATCAAGAAAAATATTTCACAAATTGATACACAGATGGCCTATTTCTGAATGTGTATAAAACTGCATTATGCAAACCTCTAGCTCTCTTCCAAGAACTACTGAATCGAAAGGTTGGGGCTAGAAAACAAGGACCTGGACATTTTTAAAGTTTCTCGCAAGGTTTTCTTGCATATGTAATCCATTGTACCACAAAATGACGTATTATGAAGAGGAAAGAAAAACTGAACAAGGGGACATTTAAAGTCTAGAAAGCATAATGGAGCTTTTCACTTCTGAGTCAATAACGCTTGTATCCCAGTCGAGCAACGCAGGGGCTCCCAAGAGGCACACAGGAAAAATGCAAAGACACACAAGGGCAGATCCCGACGTCGAGACCCATGTCATCCTCACCCAGGGACACCAGGTTGCTGTAGTTCTCCAACATCACGGCCCTGTATAAAGCCCTCTGAGCAGAGTCCAAGCATTGCCATTCTTCCTGAGAGAATTCTATGGCCACATCCCTGAATGTCATATGTCCCTAAAATGTAAAACACAGTTCACCACTGAGAAGGGAAGAATTCCTCTCTTCACATAAAATGACAAGAGAGTTGTAAAAATTGATTTGATTGAATTGAGTGTTCTGACAGATCCACATTAATATATTTTTGAGCTCATTCTGTGTTTTATTATACTTTTCCATAAGAAATTATGTGGACAATACAAGAAAAACAAAAAATTAGCACAGGTTTACCTCTATATTCTGTCTGACACACCAAATCATATTCAGTATCTACCTGAACTAGAATATGGGTAATGTCTTCAAGATGACTATGTCCACAGTGGCTTGTAAAAGAAGATCACAATCTAAAAAACTGTGAGGACAGCAGTAGCCATACTGGAAGTTTTTGAACACCTCCCACATGCTAGGCAGTATTCTAAATGCTTTACGTGTACTACCTGCTGTAACAACAAGAGCCCATGAGAGAGAGATCCATTCCCACCTTACTAAGGAGACAACTGTGTCTCAGACACGCTTAGAAAAAACACCCCGGAGGTCAATGGGCTAAAAATGGCAAAGTAAGCACTGATACCAGGCGTCTGGGCATTAGGATCAGACCTCAGGGATCAAAGAGTTAAGAAGCAGATCAGCCTCAAAAGTAAATTGACAGAGAATTACTGAATTGAGGGAAGTTGAAACACATTCAAGGATAAAAACATGCAACTACACGAAAGGTCATTACATACATGTACACACACGTATACCAGTCCTATGTTACATATTCTTACTAACATCAATTCATTAACATGACAGTGTAGAAAAATTTTAAGGCCATGGAAAATGTTCAAGATAAAATTGTAACTGTCAAAAAACATAAAATTTATACAAAGTCAGGATGTGCCTTTGTGGATTCATCCCCACGTTCACACACATCACATGCACAAACTCACACACATACACTTATACATATCCACTGAAATAACAGGACACGTATCTGTGCAGACATGTCCCTCTGCTGCCCTGAACCAGGGTGTTTCGCAGAAAAGAAA